GGCAGGGTTTCTCTATGTTGGTCAGGCTGGTCTCAAACTCCTGACCTCAGGTCATCCTCCCGCTTCGACCTCCCAAAATACTGGGATTACAGGCGTGAGCCACCGCACCCAGCCTTGCATTGTGGAATTTCTAAGGAAGAGGGAGAGAAGGGCAAGAGAGAATATTTGAAGAAACAATGGCTGAAAACTTCCCAAATTTGATGAAAGACATGAATACAAACACAGTAGCCTAACAAACCCCAAGTAAGAAAAACTTAAAGAGACCTACACCAAAACACATTATAATCAAACTTTCAAAAGTCAAAAACAGAGAATCTTTAAATCGGTAAGAGAAAAGCAACTGGTCACATGCAAGAAATCTTTAATAAGATTATCAACAGGTTTCTCATCAGAAACTTTAGAAGCTGGAAGGACAGGAAATCAAAAGCTGCTAACAGCCAGGAGTGGTGGCTCATGTCTATAATCCCAACACTTTGGGAGGCCGAGGCAGGTGAATCACTTGAGGTCAGGAGCTCAAGACCAGCCTGGCCAATATGGCAAAACCCTGTCTCTACTAAAAATATAAAAATTAGCCACGCATGGTGGTGGGTGACTGTAATCCCAGCTACTTGAGAGACTGAGGTGGGAGAATCACTTGAACCTGGGAGGCAGAGGTTGCAGTGAGCCGAGATGGCACCACTGCACTCCAGCCTGGGTGATAGAGTGAGACTCTGTCTTAATAAACAAACAAACAAGTGAATAAACAAAAGCTGCCCATGAAAAGGAAAAGGATCAATAAATGGGTATTCCAGAAAGTCAAAAGCTACACAAATATCAAGCCAAAATAAACTGGTTCCCTGACTGGAAATTGAACCCAGGCTAAAAGCACAGAACTTTAACTACTGAACGGCAAAGTAGTGCAGACTTTATTGTGAATCCTGGAAGGGATCCAGAGCAGGCAGTTTGAGCTTATGAAAAATTTTAACTTTGTTTTGGGTCAAATTTTGCTCTTCAATTTAGTCAAGAGAATTTTTTTCCCTACACAACACAGATAATATTGTCAAGAGAATTTTTAAGGTTAGCCATGACACTAGTATGTGCCTTTCCTTTAATCTGATCTTCCTATCAATTGTTTAAAATAAGAGATCTCTAAAATCTTTTTTTCTTTTTTAATTCAGGTGTCTAATTTAAGGGATCCATCTTCAGTCCACTGGCAACTAGAATATCCAATGGTGTAATTATTCCAATAGCAATTCAACCAAATAGCCTCTTTGTGGAAAGCCCAGGATGTCATTTTCCAGATTAACTTCCTGGGAAGGTTATAGAAGAGGCAATCCCAAAGATTCCCCTCCAAGAAAAAAGTTCAATGTAAGGAGTAGGCCACAGATGGTTAAGAGTGATGTTTGGGCCGGGCGCGGTGGCTCAAGCCTGTAATCCCAGCACTTTGGGAGGCCGAGACGGGCGGATCACGAGGTCAGGAGATCGAGACCATCCTGGCTAACATGGTGAAACCCCGTCTCTACTAAAAAATACAAAAAACTAGCCGGGCGAGGTGGCGGGCGCCTGTAGTCCCAGCTACTCAGGAGGATGAGACAGGAGAATGGCCCGAACCCGGGAGGCGGAGCTTGCAGTGAGCTGAGATCCGGCCACTGCACTCCAGCCTGGGCGACAGAGCGAGACTCCGTCTCAAAAAAAAAAAAAAAAAAGAGTGATGTTTGCCTCCAGTAACCCACAAATTTTGGGGGGCTTCCAGTCACAGACCTGTGAATCTGTGATACCATGTAGGCCCTCTTGAGATTGAGCTTTCCTAGGACTAATCAGGCAACAAGAGTTGAGACGACAAAAGCCTCAAAGGGATGGGATTTCTTAAGACAAACCCCAAGAACTTGACATAGTCAGAACAAAAAGTGTGCTCAGGTTCTCAGCCATTTTCAGACAGGCCACCTACTATGACTTGAAAATTACCACCTCTTACCACATACCGAAAACCAAGAGAAAGTGCTCCCACTTGGTCACAAGTCAAGCTCTCAAGGACATCAAGTAAGATGAGAAAGAACCTCAACCAGTACCCTCTTTTATGACAGAATAACACATAGAGACAAAGACAAAGGAACAGACAATTTCTGGGAAGAAAGGGATTAAACAATATGAATTGGTACCACAAAGTACCAAAAAGCACACCAGAGTCACTACACCCAAGACTAGTCACACAAATCCTTTTCTCCCATTAATCAAGATTTTGGAGAGGGAAAAGAAACAGTGATTTTTCCTGTCCACTTGATCAGATTCCACATAGAGAAGGAGGCCGGGAGCCTGGCTGGTAAAAATTTATTACCCTGTGACAACTGATCTGATCCTGGGTTCTTCACTGCAGCTTCCAGAAGAGCAGAGCTTTGCTATCCTGCTTACAGCTCCAAAACTGTAAGGGCCTATGGAAACCCTCCCTCTTAACCCTCTGAAATTTCACTCAAAAATCAAGTCACAAAAGGCAGATTAACTGGAGAAAAGGCATAAAATGTACTGACATGTACATGGGGAGGGCCACAGGGAGATTACCCTACCCTATCCACAATGGGATGCAGAAGCTTATATAACATCTCGAGGTAACAGAATGAATGAGGGCTCAAAGCATGGCCAAAACCAGGTACCATCAGAGTTAGAGGTATATCCGTTTATTGTGGGCAAGACAGGTTATGGGAGGGAGAGAAGAGGAGGCTTGGCTAGCAAAGTTGGTCTTAATATGTAAATGAAACCTTACAGGTAGCAGCGCTCAGAGAGAATAAACCCTAAAAGTTTCTTTCAGACCTTTACAGGTGTCAGACTTTCAGTTCATCTTTCCTAGATCTGGGCAAGGAAAGACTTGGCTGCATCAATGCAGACTCCCTACAGATGCAAATCTCCCCAACAAAAGACAACTTTGCAGGGCTACTTCTGCAGCTGGCTCTCTGAACAGACATCTCAAAATATGTCAAAGAAATGTACTTGGGGGTAAAATATTTTTAATTCCTTCACATCTACAGCCTGATGCACCTGCCGTTTCAAAGCACCATTGTTGGTGACAACTCCATTCTTCCCTACACTCAAGCCAAAAAAACAGATTCTCCTTGAGGCTAGTCTTTTTCTCACAGCACACATACTATTTTTCAGAAAAATTCTGTTTCCTGTTTGGTTAATTACAGACTTTGATCTGCCTAATCTTTCTCTTTCTTGGTCTCTGAATTTTGGCAAAGGAGTCTCCTGATACAGGCGAGATTGATTCTAATGACAAGGCTCAAAACCGTCAGACATTTAAAAGCCTTAATCTCGGGGTCAGGTTTGGGCCGCCCTTGAACCTTTTCTTTGGCCCACCCGTCAAAATCAGCCTGGTCAGGCCTGTCTTCAAGGCCCAGGGTCAGGGCCAGGTCTTCCCGATGCTTCTTGAAGCTTCTCCAGCGGGTTGGCAGCCACCCTCCCCTTCCCTGTGACCTGCAGAGAAGCTTCAGGGGGCATTTATTCAATTTGCTAGGAGCCCATGAGGCGCAGGTGCGAGGTGACTCTGTGGTTCCCACCGCACCCGCCACCCTCCTTGGTCCTCTTGCTGTCTCCGGCGGGCAGTAACGTTCCGGGTGAGCCTGGGCTTCGAAGATACCCAGCCAGGGAGGGACCGGTAGGGAAGGGCACTGGCCCCTTAGGTCCTTCACAGTAGGGATCCGAAAAAGGTTTGAAGAAATAGAAAAGGAGAGTTGGGAGTAGATCAAAGGGAAAGAAAGAAATCCTAGGAGATTTCCCATCTGAAGGCACCACGAAGAGAAAGTCCGCTTCGTCTGGGTCAGGTCTTCACGTCGCTGGTGAACCGAGTTCTGGTCTCTATTGGAGACCAAATCAGTTGACTTTGGCTTGACTCCTAGTGAAGAAGCCACGCTTTGTCCTCCCCTGTTTAGCTCTTGATCCTGAAGCACTTGATTTTCTCTCCTGGGAGACAATCAATCTTCGATGGATTCCAGGGGTGCAACTGAGAAGTTTGTTTTTAATGCACCTACTTGAAGTAAGAATATTTTAAAGTATTTTTGCAAAGAAAAACGTTTCCTTTTGCACTGAAGACATTCAGATGTGAGGAAAATCACTCGGCTGGGGAAAGCAAATGCTGTTGAGAATGTCTCACAAACATAAATTACACATCAGCAGGTAGGTTTGACCCTCAGGTTGGGCACATTTTAAGCGCACTGTTGGCGGAACTTAAGATGAATTAACGACATTCATGATTATTATTTTTAGTTTTTTAGTAAAATTTAATATTTTAAATTTAAATACACATTCTGAAAATTATATAACCAGCACAAGAAACCGGCTTTATGCCATATTTACAAACACAGGAAAGAAAGATGATATTTTAAATGACAATGCTTCACAAATGGCAACATTTTAAAAGTACCTAGACAAAAAAAGTTAACCCAGAATTCTATGCAAAAATAAAATTTCAAAACTGTGAGTGAAATAAGGACATTGAAAAACATACAAAAGCTAAAAGAATTCACCAAACCACGCTACAAGAAATCTTAAGAGTCCTCCAGGCAGAAGCAAAAGGATCCTTGATAAAATTGTGGACCTATACAAAGAAACCAATATTGGAAATGGCATTTAGAAAGCATGTACTACACGTTTTCTTATAATTTAAATCTTTTTAAAAATATTTGACGTAATAAATAAAAGTAATAATAATGAATCCCAAAGCTTATAATGCATAAAGTAAAAATACTAGGATAAAGGCCAGAAGGGGAGGTATAATGACACTTGAAAGCAGACTGTGAGAAATTAAAGATGTATCCCAGAAACCCTAGAGCAGCCACTGAAATAAGAAAAGGGTTATAGCTAATAAAGCAAGAAGGAAAGAAAATGGAATGAAATAAAAGCTGTGTAAACACTATGCTGGAACAACTGCTCTCTAGGCCTCCACCCTATAGAAATATACCAGTGGGCAATGAGAAGTGTACAAGAATGATGACTGCAGCATTATTTGTAATCATAAAATAATAGAACCAATGTAATTTTAAAGATATATGAAAAAGGGTTTATTTATTTATTTAACAGACAATTGAACAAACAAACAATGGAAGCAAGTCCTTTGCCAAAAGGAACACAGAGGGTCATGATGATGCTACTCCTCCAAGGATTTCAGGGTTCCCAGACGCCTAGTGCCAGACCCTGCTCCTTGCAAGGGGACCCACGAGCGACCCTCGCCACCATCCCTGCCCTGGTGGAGCCCCCGTGCGGAACACAGGATCCGAAGATGGCAGCGGAAGCGCCACAGCGGCCTCGAAAGCGACTGGGCAGGGTGGGCACAGGCTCCCTCACCGGATGAAGGCGGCGAAAACAACGGGAAGAACCATCCGGGGAGCCCACCGGGCGTTCAGTTTCATTTGGTACCCGAGGAGGCTCGGGCTGGGTCGCCGACTGGGGAGTTTCTGGGAGCTTCTGAAGAAGGAGAGGGGCAGGGCCGGCGAAGGCCATTCGGCTCTCCGTCTGGCTCCAGAATCTCCTAACACACAGGTGTCCGACGTGACCACGGCGACTCACCGCTCTAATCTCTCCGGTTTTCCAAGGCCTTGCTCAGTAGTCCTGCCGGGCGGGCCCTGAGAATAGAAGGGAGGGAGGAAATTTAGTGAGTGCGTCCTTCCTCTATTGCCCAGTAGAGTGAGTAGTGCTTGTCTCTGTAGCGCAATCGGTTAGCGCGTTCGGCTGTTAACCGAAAGGTTGGTGGTTCGAGCCCACCCAGGGACGCTTAGATAGAACTTTTAAAGCATGCACGCATTGTCAATCACTACATAAGTGGGGAAGATTTTATCTTCCCGGAGTACCAAGCCACTAATTTATGACTGATCCATGTCAAGGGCCGGCCCACCTCCCCGACCAGATTTTTTTTTTTTTTTTTTTTTTGAGACGGAGTCTCGCTCTGTCGCCCAACCGCGCCCTGCTAATTTTTTGTGTTTTTAGTAGAGACGGGGTTTCACCGTGGTCTCAATCTCCTGACCTAGCGATCCGCCCGCCTCGGCCTCCCAAAGTGCTGGGATTACAGGCGTGAGCCACCACGCCCGGCTACCCGACCAGATTCTTAACCGGGTATCTCCTGAAATGCCGGGTTTCCACCAGTGTAACTCAGGAATCCTGAAACAGAGAACTAGGAACCCACTTCTGGTGTGATAAAATTCTAATTCAGTCCGTTCTACACTTAAACGAGTAATTTATGTGCCTCCATTTTTTTCATATTTTAGTAATAGGAGTCCAGTAGTATCTCCAGGATATGCCTGGATTTACTGATTGCTGTATCAATAATGTGACCAGTGGAATCACTCATCATGTTAGTGATCCTCTCCATCATTTTTTGAAAACAGTATTTTTTCCTCAGTTTGTGCATGATTTATTTAACCCTTTTCAAAATGTTTTTGTTAGCCAGGCATGGTGGCATGTGCCTGTAATCCCAGCTACTGGGGAGGCTGAGGCAGGAGAATCATTTGAACCTGGGAGGTGGTGGCTGCAGTGAGTTGAGATCACTACACTCCAGCCTGGGCAACAGAGTGTGACTCCATCTCAAAAAAAAAAAAAGTATTTGAGATGAGGTTGGTTTCATGGTTTTAGGATTACAAAGAATGCTGCAGTCACTATTCTTGTACACATATCTTTGGTCATTGTGGAAATGTCTACACTGCAGATATTTCTATAGTGTAGAGAACTGGATGCATCATTGATACATATAGTGTTTAATGCTTCTAATTTGAGTACATTCTGCAAATGTCTCTTTCACGGGAGCAATACCTAATAATATTCCAATATGAATATTTATAAGAGGAAACATGTGCAGATGTGCAATTCAGCTTCGTGCCTCTCCATGGGGCCCATGTTCATAAAATGGTGGCATTAGCTATCTGAGAGTGGAGTTTGCGGCCCTCTGACGTCAAAAGCTGAAACAGAGGACATGAAAACCCTCAATGCACATCCTCTGTAGTCTGGCCAGAATCATTCCTAGGTCGGTGGTCTCTTATCAGGAGGAAATGCTGCTTGCTTGCTTTGTCAAAACCACAAAAGGCAGGGAAAGTATTAGGCTGCTGGTTGATAACAGTAGTGAAGCAAGTCTTTCCAAAGAGTTGGTTTGTTAACCCTTAGGAAAAAAAATCCTAATTCTTACCAGATGGTGCCGTGCAGTTCCAGGCTCTTGGTGTCCCAAACAAAGAACTGTACATGGCACACACAAAGCAGCAAAGCAAAGCAAAAGTTTATTAAGCACAGTAACACTCTCGGAGTGGGGAGAGTGGGCTGACCTCTGGGAGATGAGATCAGTATTAGTTTGGTGTACTTTGGGTCTTTTTATGTGTGTTTATTTTTCTTCTCTTCACAAGGATGCCTCATCTTTAGCCAGTGTTTGCCTTTAGATTGATAGGTGGGTGGCTTACTTTGGCCCTTGTGTGCTTGCTTGTTGCCTCCATCCCATAATTTTTAGTACACACATGAGTTTTAATGAGCTGATTATCATATGAAGTCATGTTAAGGATACTTTTTTTCTCGAATGCACATGCCTATCTCTGAGGAGCTGCCCCTTTACTGGTTTGGATCTTGCCAGCCATGAGGTCCTTGCTTGCTGTTTTTTGGGGGTTTTTTCTTTTTTCTTGACAGAATCTCTCTCTGTTGCCCAGTCTGCAGTGCAGTAGCACAATCTTGGCTTCCTACAACCTTCTCCTTCCGGGTTAAGTGATTCTCCCACCTCAGTCTCCCAAGTAGTTGGGAGCACATGCTCACACCACCACCCCCGGCTAATTTTTTGTATTTTTAGTAGAGATGGGGTTTTACCATATTGGCCAGGCTGGTCTCACACTCCTGACCTCAGGTGATTCACCCACTTTGGCCTCCCAAAGTCTTGGGATTACAGGCGTGAGCCACCACACCTGACCAAAAAAAGAATTTTTAAAATTATTCTTTTAGGCCAAGTGAGGTGGCTCACGCCTGTAATCTCAGCACTTTGGGCGACCCAGGTGGGTCAATCACGAGGTCAGGGGTTTGAGACCAGCCTGGCCAACATGGTGAAATCCCATCTCTAATAAAAATACAAAAATTGGCCGGGCGCGGTGGCTCACGCCTGTAATCCCAGCACTTTGGGAGGCCGAGGCGGGCGGATCACAAGGTCAGGAGATCGAGACCACGGTGAAACCCCGTCTCTACTAAAAATACAAAAAATTAGCCGGGCGCGGTGGCGGGCGCCTGTAGTCCCAGCTACTCAGGAGGCTGAGGCAGGAGAATGGTGTGAACCCGGGAGGCGGAGCTTGCAGTGAGCCGAGATCGCGCCACTGCACTCCAACCTGGGCGACAGAGTGAGACTCCGTCTCAAAAAAAAAAAAAAAAAAATACAAAAATTACCCAGGTGTGGTGGCTGGTGCCTGTAAACCCAGCTACTCGGGATGCTGAGGCAGAAGAATTGCTTGAAACCAGAAGGCGGAGGTTACAGTGAGCAGAGATCGCACCACTGCACTGCAACCTGGGCAAAAGAGCAAAACTCCGTCTCAAAAAATAAAATAAAATAATAAAATAAAATAAAATATTCTTTTAGCCGGGCAAGGTGGCTCATGCCTGTAATCTCAGCTCTTTGGAAGGCCGAGGCAGGCGAATCATGAGGTCAAGAGATCGAGACCATCCTGGCCAACTTGGTGAAACCCCTTCTCTACTAAAAATACACAAATTAGTCGGCTGTGGTGGCAGGCACCTGTAATCCCAGTTACTCAGAAGGCTGAGGCAGGAGAATCGCTGGAATCCGGGAGGCGGAGGTTGCAGTGAGCCGAGATCACACCACTGCACTCCAGCCTGGAGAAAGAAAGAGACTCTGTCTCAAAAAAAAAAAAAAAAAGAAAAGAAAAGAAAAAGAAAAATTATTCTTTTAAACTTGTGTCATGGCCAGCACAGTGGCGCACGCCTGTAATCCCAGCACTTTGGGAGGCTGAGGCGGGCGGATCATGAAGTCAGGAGATTGAGATCATCCTGGCTAACATGGTGAAACCCCGTCTCTACTAAAAATACAAAAAACTAGCCAGGCGTGGTGGTGGACACCTGTAGTCCCAGCTACTCAGGAGGCTGAGGCAGGAGAATGGTGTGAACCCGGGAGGCGGAGGTTGCAATGAGCCGAGATGGCGCCATTGCACTCCAGCCTGGGCAACAGAGCGAGACTCCGTCTCAAAAAAAAAGAAACAAAAAGAAAAAGAAAGAGAGAAAGAGAGAAAGGAAGGAAGGGAGGAAAGGAGGGAGGGAGGGAGGGAAGGAGGAAGGAGAGAGAGAGAGAGAGAAAGAGAAAGAGAAAGAGAGAAAGAAAGAGGAGGAAGCTACTGATAGTCCAGTATGGTACACTGTGATAGACTGAAGAAAATGGTGGTTATAATTTGCAGCTTCTCTCATCAAGAGAGTCTATTTCTCCCCTGTTGAATCTGGGATTGGCTATGTGATTTGCTTTGGGTAAATGTTGGTGCCTTCGCAAACCTGGCAGAAGAGAGGCTTGCACATGGGGGGATTGCCTGCTTTTTGCTTCATTTGAAATCCTGAGACCATGATCTGAAGATCCCCCCCAAGCAAGCCTGCTGGAGAGATCACATGAAGAAAAAGATCCATGCATCCCACTTGTTCCAACCTATCCAGCGATACCCCAGATGTGTGAGTGAGGCCATCCTAGACCATCCAGCCCCAAATGAATCAGCTTGGACCAGAAGAATGTCCAAGCCAACTCACAGAATCACTAAAAATAATAAATTATTGTTATTCTAAGTCAATAAACTTGGAAGGGTTTATTATGCAGCAAAAGTCTATCAAAAGGGTGATGGTAGCTGCAGGAAATAAATATATACCTTTAATTTTATATGCATAAACATCTTTGGGATGATACCTCCAAAATATAAATTCCTATATTGAAAGAGCACACTGAGTACCCAGCATGGCGGATGAAAATAGATCATGAAATTTCAAAATAGTAGGAACAGGTAGAAGATTCTATAAGCTTTTGGGAGGGGAGATGGGAGACCAGTTTAAGGCAAACAACAAAGAATCAGAATGGCATTACACTACAGTGTTGATGTGCTCCAGTCTATAATCATCAGGAACAAACTTGTAGTCAAACCTGAGTATACTGGCTCATTGCAACAGAGGAGACAGCAAACACTATGGGGAAATTGTGGGACAATTCTTCCTTTGGGAATCTTGATATTTTTATCTAGAAAGTGGGAGGAATGATTGCAGGACTAAACACATAATTGGTAAAGAATCAACAGTCTGGACAGGCACAGTGGCTCACGCCTGTAATCCCAGCACTTTGGGAGGTCGAGGTGGGCAGATCACGAGGTCAGGAGATCGAGACCATCCTGTGAATGGTGAAACCCCGTCTCTACTAAAAATACAAAAAATTAGCTGGGCATGGTGGCAGGCGTTTGCAGTCCCAGCTACTCGGGAGGCTGAGGCAGGAGAATGGCGTGAACCCGGGAGGCGGAGCTTGCAGTGAGCCGAGATCGTGCCACTGCACTCTAGCCTGGGCAACAGAGCGAGACTCCGTCTCAAAAAAAAAAAAAAAAAGAATCAACAGTCAATACAAAAGTTAGCCGAGCATGGTTGG